TACTGTCCATTCACCTTCCTTTGATAGAAGTCGATGATTTGAATGAGTTGAGATTGAACCATATCATTTCAGTGAACAATAAAGATAACAATGTCAATAGTCACTATGAAACTGTCATATTCTAAATGATCTATTATCCAGGCTGTTTAAGGCAAAATACAGGGGTTTATTTGTCAATAGTATGTTGTAATCAACTGAAAATAATCATGAATTGTAGCGTAATCTTTAGATAAACTCATGAAATTAGAAACATACTATTTCAGTTTATGTTTAGGTAACATACTTGATAACTAATATTGGACTTCTTCTAGAGCTCTGTAAATGACATGAATTGACATATACTAGAAAAGTGTACGAAGAGATATTCAGATAGTGTTTACATCCTCAATGCAACACTCATCAAATTATGTAAACATATTTCACTTCCATAGAAGTTAGTTCATTCGAATTCAAAATCATTTGAGATTAGATAACCCATTTCATCATCATAATAATAATAAGCTTTGAATGTTCTGACTTTGAATTTGTACAATGTGATTGTGATTTTAGGCTAGTTTAATTGAAGCTCAAATATTGTATGGAGGAAGAGAAATATACTACAGACGTGAAGATTTCATATTTGCATCACTGGTTCATTTGTTCTTACTTACTTTCTTATATTCTGGATTTATTTTAACGTTTTACAACATTAAGTTAAGCTAAATAGATATGCAGTTTGTATTTTCAAATTGATGTTTCCTTTATGTAATTGTGTATTTTTTATGATGCAGTAAAACAACGATGTGGAATATGACAATTTCTGTGTTTGTTTTTATATTGTACGTGATTAAGCACAAGTGGATTTGAGAATATTCAGTTTTAAATGAACTGATCATTCTGAGTTTGTTCTATTGACTGGGAGAGGGAGTCTCTGTAAACTATCCAGTTTGTATTCATTTAGTATTGTTTGTTTGAATCTTCCCATCGATGTGTTAGGACTGCAACTGGTCAGTCTCTAGTTGGCATATGTGTATACTGTGCGTATTGCCTCGATATAGCCTTAATTCACTCAGTGGCCGAGCGGATAACGCGATGGCGTTTGAAGCGAAAGGTACTGGGTTCGAGTCCCAAAGTGAACATCAACTCTGATGCAGGTACATCCATCTGACGAGTCCCAAATAGGACGAAACGCGCATCCTGGATTCCACTGCTAGCCACTATCCATCTTTGTTTACTATCCAGTTTTTAGTTTGTACAATGCACTGATGTTGAATAAGTAGTCATTGGGAATGAGGAAGTATTATAATAGTATGCTGTTGATTATTTTATTAAATTGATCGAAAGAAATCGAATATACTATGAATTGAAAATGTCTTGACTGTTACATGGATTCCGTTCATTCCATCAATCTCAACACTTTTTGTTTTGAGAAAAATGTTTGCATAGTTATAAATGAGTCATAAATGAAAGAGAAACCTCTATGAAAATTTATACCTGCCTCAATACTAATCGAAATAGTCACTTAAAATCGAAATTACTGAGAGGTTGTTTCGAGTTTCATTTGTTCTTACTTCTTACATTCTGAATTTAGCATTCTATTTTCCAACATTCAATTATCCTATATACATATTCATATAATTACATTTTGTGTTTTCAGCATAATGTTTCTATTAGTTATTGTTGTGTAATTGATGATTAAATACAAAAATGGAAAACAAACCATTGAGGATTTCATTTCATACTTCATGTAGTTTGTATAATTAGCAAGATGTTGGTAATGTATGTGATGAAGTTGAACATGATTGTAAAATATTCCGTGTTTTGTGTACTGTTAATTTTGAACCTCTTTTATTAACTGATATTTGATATTTATTGAAACTATTCGACCTCTAATAGAGTGTACGGGAGACCAGTAAGTTCAGTAGCTTGACTTAATCTCATAGCTTACGTCACAGACTAATCTTGGTCAGATAAACACTGAAATTCAAGAAGCACTGAACATTAGTTTCATCCTTATATATAAGGCTCCTCAGTGTTAATTACGAATCCAGGATCTATAAGTTTAGTGGCGAGCGCTTGACCTTCAAACTTCTAGGACAGTATCCAGTGATTTACGCGTTTAACTCTAGTCAGTTGGTTAAATTTCACGAGTAATATCGCGTTTCATTAGTGATACTTCTTGTACGCCACGAAATAATGAAGGTCTTGAATGTGGACCCTAACTGAGTTGTGGATGGAATGCTGAAAAAGTCCATAACAGAGCGGAACACATGTCTAGCGCTATCTTGATTTCAATGTTTGACTAAGATCAATTAACGGTGTGAACTATGATTTACAACACTTACTTTAGCTAGACAAACATTAAGAAAACAAAGAATATAAGATAACTTTTTTATCTCATTTTTATCTCGTTCAAAGTCTTTACTGAGGGCTCAAGGTAGTGCATTTTTAGTATTTAAGCAGTGAAGTGTATATTCTGATAGCGTTATATGATCTTTATTTCAAAAATGTACATAGTACAAAGTACACATCCATCTAAAATCTCTTTAATTTTAAAGTGGTAAGCTTTTAAATTGAAGTTTATCATAAGCATAAAGAATAATGAAATCTATTTGTAAACAACTATATATATATATATATATATATATATATATATATATATATATATATATATATATATATATATATATATATATATATATATATATATATATATATATATGAAATAATAATAGTCATTTCTTAATCAATTCAGTTTATTGTGAGTAGATGTTTTCTATTAGTAACTGTGATTAGATAACTGCTTCTATTTATTATTAGCTTTATTCAATATACAATATAGAATTCTCAGCATAAAGTATTTCAATGAGTTTCTGTTTCTTATTTCTTGATCAATGTTGACGATATATGTTAAGTGATCGCCAGTTAGATATAAGCATTTCAGATGTTGACATCTAAATAATATTTATTCTTTTCAATGTATATTGCCAGTCATCACGATGTCTCCGGTTGTACATTTTTGTAACTTGTACAGCGAAAGGTCATAAACTTTTCACAAACGCACTTGAATACGCTATGCAATTAATTGACATAATGATTTGTTAAAACAAACAAGGAAACAGATACACTTAGTATTGTTTGTTTGAATGATCCCATCGATGTGTTTAGGACTGCAACTGGTCAGTCTCTAATTGGCATATGTGCATACTGTGCGTATTGCCTCGATATACCTTAATTCACAAGTATGTTAAGCAGAGATGGATAGTGGCTAGCAGTGGAAACCAGGATGCGCGTTTCGTCCTATTTGGGACTCGTCAGTTGGATGTGCCTGCATCTCAGAGTTGATGTTCACTCTGGGACTCGAACCCAGTACCTTCGCTTCAAACGCCATCGCGTTATCCACTCGGCCACTGAGTCCTGATAGCCACTTGCTTGTGCGATGGGGTGGAGACTGACCAGTTGCAGTCCAAACACATCGATGGGAAGATTCAAACAAGCAATACTAAATGAATTTAAACTTCACCCCATCGCACAAGCAAGTGGCTATCAGGACTCAGTGGCCGAGTGGATAACGCGATGGCGTTTGAAGCGAAGGTACTGGGTTCGAGTCCCAGAGTGAACATCAACTCTGATGCAGGTACATCCATCTGACGAGTCCCAAATAGGACGAAACGTGCATCCTGGATTCCACTGCTAGCCACTATCCATCTTTGCTTATCAAGGAAACAGATAATTTGTTAAAATATCTAGATGGTAGGAACAGGTAGCCCATATACTCAAGCAAGTTACGTTGTCCTTCCACATGCATTATTTTATTTAAACACATAAATATTGGTACAAGGAGGTAGCAGATACATATGCGCCGCACAAATCTCATTTGATTTGTGTGAGGGCTGTGATACTGCCTAGGTGCCCAAACCGAAGTAGGTGATTTTCTTAGGGAGCCACACCCGGAGCCTTGGATCTAAAGGTCTGATCCACAAGGCAGTGGAGCATCGTAAGGAAATGCAGTTCCATGGTAGCCGGTGACCAACGATTGATTCGTACGCCATTTATACCTTCAGGATACTGGAGCCCATATACACCATTGGTTTGGAATCAGGGTTTTCCAACTCCCCTTGGTAGACCCTCCGTGTTCATCAACCCGGTTAAAGCGCCGGTCATTCGCTCTTCGTCCTCTCAATTTCGTGAAGAACACCCCAGACATGAGAAGACAGTGAGTAGGACTTCCCTGACAGAGGCTATATACACGTGGCCATGTGAGAGCATTTCGAGAGAGAGAGCGGACTCTCCCCACTCTTGGCCATACCAGGGCATTTGGGGGCATAGATATACTTCATACAAAATACTCAGAATATACAAATATATTACACTTTCATGTAACATATGACTTCATACAGACATTTAGAAGTGAATAATCAGTGCCAAAATACTTGAAACTATTGATGTCTATCGTACCCTCCCCTTCCAGCCATATAGAATGGTGAAGCCTAGTAGGCGCTTCTGGAGAAGAGTGTTAAATCGAAGCACGGCACAACTACCGGAGTGGGATAGCTGTTTCTGCACTGCTTACGCAGAACCATTACATAACACTCACACAGAACCTGTTTTTTGTTTTTATTTAGGCAGACTCATTTTTATTTTACCACTCTTTGAACACTCAATAGTTATGCAATGACTCTTTGTAGCATTTCATAATCGTTTTTTGGGGGGTATTGGTAGAGTGGTTGATTAGGCCAATCTCCACCACCCACGATTAACCGCTCACGTTAGTTCAGGGAAACAGTCCCATTATCCAGGAGGCACGACGAGGACGTGTGAGTCGAATTTTGCCCCCCTGATGTCTCTCGTGATTATTATAAATACTTTCTTTATAGACTAAATATTGTTCCTTATGAATGAATGTTAATATCAACCAGTATTGTTACAATTACACAATATTCAATAGAAATATTTGACTGACCATTACTAAATATTAGTTTTCCTTATTAAATTGTAGATTATTGGATCATTTCAACAGAATGTTATTTAAGCAGCATAAACAAGTCAACAATTGGAAATCATCACATAATATAGATTTATTAAAAGTAAACTTTATAATTTGATTGATTTTTAATAAAATTTTATAGTTTTTTATAGTTACTTGTTTACCACTAATTGAAATGATTATTACTACAATACTCATATGTAAATTGTACGTTTTCATTGTATCTATGATATGATGAATTAAATTTTATAGTTGCGATGAATGTAAGAACATTAATCAATATAAATGGTATCTGATTGGTTTAATGTAAGTTATAGAAACTAATTTAATATATCAAATAAACAATCAACTATGTGATTTGTAGTTATATGTAATAAAATATAAGGAAATCACAGTAATTAATAAGGTTAATACGTTATAATTGTATAATGGTGATTAAGTCACATAAACAGTTGTGCTCTCAGAAGAGTTTTTGTAGGACTGTTGAAATTTTTATTTGGAGCTACTCCAGTTTATTGACCTAAAAGACTTGTGCTTTATGCAACTTTTTTAGTGGTTGAACTGGAACTAAAACGGTTTCAGAAAATGGGTGTTATTGAACACATGAAATTCTCAGATTAGGTTGCACTGATAGTGGTGGTCAAGAAATCCAATGCCAACGTTCGCTTATGTGCAGATTAATCCACATGACTAAATGAAACTCTAGAGTCTCACTAGTATCCTTTACCTCTACTTAAAGATTTCTTTACCAAACTGAACAATGAAAAGTATTTTGCAAAATTGGGTCTAACAGATGCCTATTTACAAATTTCTGTAGATGATGAAAGTAAACATCTCCTCACGATTAGCACAAACGAGGGTCTGTTCCGATATGACTGACTTCCCTTTGGAGTGAAGACGGTACCCTCTATATTCCAGTAAATTACGGATATTATATTGCATAGTATTCTAGGAGTAGCGGCTTATTAGGACGACACCACACACATGGAAGTAGACAAAATGGACCTATAAAAATTATTGCTCTGGTTGTTAGAAGGGGCATCGGTCTCGTGACTTCCGAAGAACTTCGGCTTTCATCATGAGACGTCATTATTCCTTCAACTCCCAGGGCAGAGTTTAAATGGTTTGAATTATTTTTTCTGGTTAGCGTTTTTCTACGGGATGGGGTCGCTAACCCCATGCTCAACCCTCCTCCTTTACTCGGGCTTGGGACCGGCAGTAAATCTAGAAGAGCTACAAGCGGAGTTCTCGTGTTCAAGCTGTCGTGTATATTTAGTCTGGAGTTATTAGAACTTAGGAAACCGACTCAAGAGTTCAATCGGATGATTTATCAATATGTAACCACTTTATATCACTTACTGTTTAGCATTCATAGTATGATAATTACATTACTCATCCACTCAAATTTTAGTCAATCAAAACATAGATGTTAATGATAATATATATTTGTTATATCCAAATGAGACCATGAGTCAACTGAAGCTAGACCACCATGGAAAACCTGGAATCACTGTGCGGCCGTTTCGCCCCATAGTGGGACTCCTCAGCAGTGCGCAACCACGACCCAGCCTCGCGAGATTTTAACACAGGAACGATAGGTCCCACTATAGGACGAAACGGCCGTCCAGTGCTTCCAGGCTTTTCATTGTAGTCTACCTTCAGTTGACTCATGATCCCAACTATTAAAATACTATAATATCCACAAAACTTCTTCTGATATCCAAATGAGCTGAAAAATTAGATTTTCTAGTGTCTAATGACTGTGTAAGCCACTTCTTCAAAGAATCAATAAATAAACATACTACATTAACTTAATTTTATATAGTACGAAGGAACAAAACAAAAATACTTATTATGACCAGTTAAAACTTTGGTCAGTGTTATTTAGATGTGATATGCCTATATGTATTTGTATGCACCTTAATCAGTGTGAAAAACGTGACCTTTATGATATGGAAAGATGGGGTTGATTTTGTACGTAAGACAATAATGTGAGATGGTAACAGAGTTAGATAGGTGGATAGATGGACTAAGTAGAATATATACTAAGACTTTTTTCCCATTGCGGCCAGTGGGATTTAGCAATACGTGGAAAGCTATAGCTGCTCACCCCATTTTGTAGCTGGAAAAGTCTTTTTGTAACATGACATTGACCTGGTCACCTTGACTAGTTTTGATTGGTCGAACTAATTATTTTTGCTTTGTTCCTTCGTACTATTTAAACCTGGATTCATCTAATCTGTCTGTTTATTGATTCACTGAAGGAATGGCTTACAATAAGTCATGAAATATTGAAAAGCTCAGTTTTTCTACTCATTAGGCTATTGCCGATATATTATGATCTACTCAAAACTCAATTTACAAGAAACTGACTAATTAAACCTTAGTAATGATATCCATCAACTTGGTTTGTTCATTTGTTGATGCTGGCTGCTAAAGTTATTCATTTTGTAAACTTATTAAAAACACCGAATAATTTAATTACATATTTCATTCGTTGTACCAGTGATCTAGAACCTACTAAATAAAATTATGATTTTTAAATACGTTTTCATTTGATGTTAAAATCAGACCAAGTTCCATAATTTTCTCACTTCTAATGGTTATTGTTCGTGATATGCGTGCACGTTTCCCACTTAATTATGTCTTCCTGTTTCTAAATGTAAGTTTTCATTGTATTTAAATTGCACATTGTGTTCATTCAGATATCCTACATTCTGTTTATTGTCAAATGATAAATAATATTAGGGTGAACTCATTGTTTTCAATGTTTATATAAAGTAATCTATCTTTAAAGAGTCTTATTCGACAAGTGTTACCAAACAGTGATTAAATTCAAGCAGAGATGAATGGTGGTTAGCAGTGAAATCTGGAGTACGTGTTTCATCTAATTCGGGACTCGTCAGCTGGATGTACCTGCATCCCAGAGGTGATTTTCACCCCGGGACTCAAACCTAGTACTTTTCGCTCCAAACATCACATATCGAGGCCATCCCAACAGGATCTATATATGCCAAAAGAAACTGATCAATCGCAGTGGTAAACATTAGTGGGAAGGTTTAAACAATCAATATATATATAAATACAACCAACAAATTCATTTGGTTTAAGGACGTTGCTTTAATTTAGATTCTTCTGTGATAAATTGTAATTTTTATGAGTGTTCAAGTAATAATTTAGTCCAAGTAATTGTACTATCAAGCAGTTTATCCATGTTAATAGCCTTACTTTCTTGATAAACCTAATCCGTAATAAACCACGTAAGTTTTCAAACAAATCTATAGTGTAAGTACTGACATTCCATAGGTTTTCTTTTGAATTGTATTACTCATGAATTTCCATTTTCTCACTTGTGAAACTGTTTTTTTCTTTTGCTGGAATAATAGACTCTGTTATTATGTTACACATTTATACCACCAATACTAATGATAACAATCAAAAATATCATGGAATCCTTTACTGTCGCAACAGTTATTGCATTTTCAATGATAGTACTCGGGATGTTCATCAAGGTTAAAATTCCTCCTGTTTTGTCGGCTGCAGTTTCAATCAGTTTCATTATTGCAGGGCTTGCAATATCTGTTGGATTGTATCTTGCCGATAAACAAGTACGTTTCATAAAATGTAATTTTAACTGAATGATACTGATAAACTGGAATTTGTAATGTCGTATATTGTTTGATGTCTGCGTCTACACTTGTCAGTGACTCAAATATCTAATATTGTGGAAATGAATAATCGCAATGTTATCCACATTGATATAGTAGTTATTGAATAATTACAACTCATGTTTCTCCGTTTTCATTTGTTTATCTATATTATCACAAATACGGTATTGACTTTAGCTGGCGAAATTCAGCTAACACAGTACCACCAATCCTGAATGATTCGTTTTCTGAAAATACATCTTTAAATGATCATTGAAGTTTTAAAAAATGCTCTGAATCGTTTGATATATGGAGTTCATTATTCGATAGATTACATAGGCTGACGAACAGTTTTAATCAGCTAACATATGTTAAGCAAAGATGGATAGTGGCTAGCAGTGGAATCCAGGATGCGCGTTTCGTCCTATTTGGGACTCGTCAGCTGGATGTACCTGCATTTCAGAGTTGATGTTTACTCTGGGACTCCAACCCAATACCTTTCGCTTCAAACGCCATCGCGTTATCCACTCAGCTACTGAGTCCTGATAGCCACTTGCCTGTACAATGGGGTGAAGTGAGTGTATAGGACGAAACGCGCGTCCTGGATTCTACTGCTAGCCACTATCCATCTTTGCTTACAATGCTTCTGAATTAAGGCTATATCGAGGCAATACGCACAGTATGCACATATGCCAGTTGCAGTCCTAAACATCAATGGGAAGATTCAAACAAACAATACTAAGTGAATTTAACATATGTTTAGTTTAAAATTGTACTATAAATCCTGTTTCATTAGTCCCTGAAAACTGTCGGTCTATCTGTACACAGGATATAAAATGACTGAACTAATGGTGATTAACATATGGGTATTGAATTATTGTATCATCTTTGATTTGTGATTAGAAGCACGATAAGAATGTAGCATTATATCATATTGTCCAACCTACATATTTGTTGAAAAAAGATCTGACTGTTCAAGATGTTTCTGCATAATGGATTGCATCATTGAATGTAAATAATGATTTATTTAATATTTTGCAGAAAAATATCAGATTTAATCTTAGTCCATGCTTCCAACAAGGTTGACTCCAAGATTAGTGTACTTTAAATAGTAGTTTGATGTACAGACATTCTGTAGAATATAAAATGCAAATCACCATTGAATATATTTCGATTGAAGATTATGCTTCATAAGAATACTTCTCAGGTTTAAAATTTTTAATATATTTATGTAATAATGAATACTCAAGGAGTAATTTTGCATATCTAGTTAAAAACAGGATATCATTGATGAATAATTAGTAGTCCTGTAACATATTTCATCATTTCTCACTGAAATTACTTTTTTTCATTTTAGGTAGCACTTCATGTAATGGGAGTATTTTTTATCTTGTCAATTTTACCAGTAAGTTAAACAGAAGAAAAAAAAGTTGAAACAGCGATTATAGTAGAACAACTGATAATCATTTAACTATCAGTTACTGTACAGAATTTAAGGTAACTTTAGAACTCATTCATCCTGTAATAGTTAAGTGTTGAGCGACAAAATGTTGTTACCGAAATTGTTATATCTTTGCATTTACAAATATCGATAGATGTATCGGGTATGAGGGCTAATATCACTTCCCGGCTGCCCACCCCGTGGAAGAGTATTTTTTGAGGGACCTGAAAAGGGAGTTGGACTAGTGTTGGTCTTAACGACCTGGGAGCGTGACCGCAGTGCCCAAGGGATAACTGCTTGAGGCCGGCCACGTACGGCCTTTTTGTGGTGGATTTTTGACGTGTTAGCTCTGTTCTTCAAAGGACCTTACCGCCGGAGACGGAAATCCGTGGGATAAGGCGAGGTGTGTATTTTTAGGGCCGACCTTTTCTAACCCCATCCCTCCTTGTGGGAAGGCAGCATCGCTGTTATGCTTGTTGTCTGAAAACACCTTACTGCCGTCACACCTCTGTACAATCGGCAGAACAACTTCGCCTTCGGACCTTGAGATTGCTGCTTTTAGTCTTACCGCTCTTCAACCGACCTGTCTGGCATGGTAGGACCTTGAGGAACGATTGTTCCAGCCAGTATAGCTCGATTGGTTCATCACGATAGGCAAGCCCGACAACCACGTCAAGGTAGCAGCAACGGTCGGGGATAGATGTATCATAGGAAATTCATATCAGAAGTTTATTTAAAACAACTCTGAAATCTATTACACTTCAAATTATGTTCATGATAAATGAAGATCTACATACAAAATCTTTAGGGAATGCGAATAATAACAAGCTTGAGTTATCATGAAAAATAATTACTGAGTAGAGAGTGTAAAGAGTATAAACGAGAATCTCAACTAGTAGAACTGTTTTATTTCTCTCATAGTTTACTATAACATCAAGCTCATGTTTCTCTCCATTTAAAATTTTTATTAGATCCTATTATTTATTGGCCAGCAGCTGAGAACTGAATACTCTCCACGGATGCTTCCCTCTGATTATATATTGTATGCTGTACTGATGTCAGCAATATATTTATTCATATTCTATTCAATCTCTGTGCAATTTTTAAATCACGGAAATAAATCAATACCTTATAGCTGCTAATATGTACAATGTAACGCCTATTCTAACAAGATGGTAATCCGTGGTTTCATATTTACTCTCTATAAGCTATTCCCCATACAAACAAACATAGTTATAGATTGAAATGTGTCGTTTGTTCCAATTTTTTAATTGCATTTGGCAGCAGTTATTCAACAATTATAAACAAATTCTGGCACTTTTTTTCTAGAATTCCTATCAAATCATGGAATTTAGGCTTTAATGTCTTCACCTAGATATAGTTATCAATTTATACCTATTTAGATTGGAATGCCCGGAGTGAACACTATTTTATGCTTTGTAAGTTTGTGGGACAGTTTCAGCCAGGATTACTCTTTACTTTAAAATATATCTTGTCTTATGATAAGTTGCAGTCCTTCCATGTCCTCAGAATACAGTAGTGATTCGACTAGTAAGTCTTGAAAGAATCCATCAGCTGCGCATTTTAGTCAACTAAAATCGGAGTCTTCATCTTTTAGTAATAAAACTCTGTGTTATACTTTTTTCCTTGGCCAACTTTTTACAGTAATCTAATAATCAGGCATCTTAGCTAACATTGTTTGTAGAATTCACCATCATACAGGTCCAAATTTAAAAAGTGATCTGTCAGATTTAGCTAGTTCGATTTTGGGCAACTCAACTGTCACAACCAGCGAATTCAGTGTCTTATTATTTAAGTTGCCTACTTGTGAACTGATTTATTGGCTAGCCAGAATAAGGGTTGTAGCCCGACTTTTAGTAAGGGGTTCAAGTAAGTCATCATCTTCACGCTTATTTAGTAACTTACTAACCCAAACCTGATCCTTCATTAGCATTATTTCACGGTACTTAAGTTCTTTTAATTGTGATTCCAACCACCCTTTTTCTTGTTACCTGAGCGTTTTTATCTTTTTCACCTATGTGCTTAGTGTATTCGGGCAAGGGTTAATTATAGGATAGTTGTTATTGTTATTAATGTTAGTGTAATCAAAGGCAAGATTTACATTGGTACGGTCATCTTAAGTGCAGGTGAAGTTGTACTCAGTTGTTTTGACTGTTCTAACTCATTCGCGTTATCTGAGACTAGCTTTATTCGTTTTGTTTCATGCATTTTACGCAACTTACATGAAATAAAAGTTGTTAAAATGACTGAAAGACGGTTAAATCACATCGAATCTTAATCTAATAAAAACTTATAAGTAAAACGTTAGTATTATTAATGACAATATACAATACAAAACTCCACTGTTGAGATATATATGACACCAATGTGCAGTCCAATCAGAGTAAGTTCTTGTTATAGTTATACAGGTACTGAGTACTGAGAAACCACGATCTAGGACGATATATCCGTCTAATTCTTCCAGGTTTTAAGAAGCGGTTTAACACTGCAAATTAATAATTTTAACGAAATAACATGAGTTACCCAATATTTGCAAGTAACATAGTTTATAAACTAAACCTCACGATCAACGGAATCAAATGCCGCCTTACGGTCGAGAAATACTAAAATTGTGGGGCGTCTGGATGTGTCTATGTTCTAGGACTTGACGTAGTGTGAATATCTGGTCTATACAACCACGTCCAGGTCGAAAACCAGCCTGATTTTCTCTAGTTAGTTCTTCACGAGCTTTGGTTACGCGTCAAAGTAATATTGAAGTTAATAATTCAGACACTAAATTAGTCAAACTGATTCCTTTGTGATTGTCACAAGCGGACTTTTGTCCAACCAGTAATTGGGACCAGTCAGAAGGAATTACGTTTAGTTCCCACATTCCACCTAAGACCTCAGTCAATTTCGCTGCTAGTACTGGACCGCCATCCTTAAAAATCTCAGGGGTAAACCTGTCAGGGCCTGCTGCTCTCCCACGCTTTAGATTTCCTATAGCTTTTTCAACCTCGCAAACAGCTGGAGGACTTACATTAACTTGCCATTCAGGTCGACTGGGGATCGTGGGAAACAGAAGTGTGGCTGAGGGCCAATTGAACTGATTCCTAAAGTGTTCTGTCCATCGATCCAATCTCCTGGATTGAGAATGAATGATATGTCCATCTTTTTCCGAAACAGTTTCACTGGCAGTTGGGTTTCAAATACCAGTTTCCTTAACAAGTCTTAACAGTTGTCTGCTGTTGCCTATTGCCGCTGCCTTTAGATATTACAAGAGAATCTGTAGAATCAACATAATTCTCAATTTTACTAACAGATATGGATGGTGCAGAGTTATACAATCCCGATTTTAAATTAACCGTTTTCAATGACTAATGTAACTTATATAAGAAAAAAATATTTGTAGAATCCCAGAAATTGAGTTCTAAGGAAATCTAACGTTTCGTTCGGCAATCCGGTCCAAACTTTTTTCAAAGAAACAAAATCAAACATTAAAATCATCGAATATTGGTAGGTAAATGTTTTTTTTAGCTCAGTATCTGACTCCAATGCAATCGTACGAAGATGCTATGAATATAAATCTTCCAATTAACTCCCTACATTACCTGGGCTAACCCCGTTTGTGTGACGGTGGTAATGAGAAGACAAATACGGGTTGCGTTGCATGAATTTATTTCAAGCATTCGTTTATTTGATAAAAATTCAGAATAAGAAGTGGAAAGCAAAGTGGAGCAAAGAAGACGACTGAACAAATTTGATTTGATCAAGTGTGACTCAAAATTTATAACCATTAAAGCATAAGGGAAAGACATGTGCTAGGTAGGATAAGCAATTAATACACACATATAAAGCAATCAAAATTAATACGCGAATAATTGATAAGGTCAAAATGTAGCTCAAAAATAATGACTAAACTGTCCTGCTGGAAGCTAGAATAACCTGTGGCAAAACAAAAAGTATATTAACTCAAAAATAGAAATAAAGTTATTACGTCCAAATGTTAATATAATAGTATACAATTTATAAGTTATGAACACAAATAAAAGTTAAGGGACGTTACTTAAGTCAGCTGATTGGTGCGTGTTTTGCTGCGTTTGGTACCAGAATCCACAATTATAGATAATTAATAATTCCAGTGAGGTTGATATGGCTCCAGTAATATAGCCAAACGTAGAATATAATGGAAATGTTACCACAGTCTATAAATATAGATGAAAGTTATTTTACAATCCAATTATCATAACCACAGGCAATGAAGTACGATAGGTGTGTGTATAACTGTATTTATGAGCGGTTAACAGCGTCACGCTATGTGGGATTCAAAAACGCAAGAAGGTGTGTTCAAAGCCATACACTTAAGCAAGATGAACAATCGTTTAGTGATAAATGTGCAGATTGTGAAAATTGACAAAATAAATGCAAATAACATCAAAAAGTACCTACAAAATAGGTTTGTGAAGCCTATCTCCACATAGCTCCCCCCAGAGTGTCCAGAGGTAACACTGGGTTGTAAAAAGCAAAAAAAAGACCCAAGAATATAGTACGTGCCAGTAATACACAAAGTGTTAATGTACATGAATGTACTGGATCACAACAAAAATAAATGAAAATATGGTCAGTGTCTTAGTTGATAATAATAAAGTGCAAAACTGTTGATAAACACATTAAATAAGAACTGGATTGTTCATTTTTATGTACAATTAATAAATAATTAACTAGAATTCACTCGTTTATTATTGTGACGAAATTCCTTTTTAGAAAAAAAAATGTGACAAAACGAGTAATTCTGAAGTAATGTAATTAATTATATGCACGTGCGAAAAGATTGCTATTCAACAAAATAGACATAACGCTTAGGTTTCTTTACGATTCTGCCGGAACGTGTTAAACAAGTAGGCTTAGTGCTCAGTTTTTCAACCTTTTCTGACCTCTCAGTAATTAGTAGGAGAGGTTGTTTATCTGCAGTTATCTTCTTTGTCTTGTTGAACTTCGTAGAGAGCTGGTTTTACTCCATCTACAGAGATGGTTTCCTTCTTCCAATCTCTATTGATGATGAGGTGTTTGCTTGTGTTTTTAATTACTTTATGAGGTCTTTCCTATGGTTGTTTCAACGGCTTTTTAACAGCATCGACTCGAACAAAAACGAGTTTACACGTTTCCAGGCGTTCATCAATTTGTACGCGATTGTTATGTTCGCGTGGAGGTATTGCTCAGGGTAATTGACGATGGCTTCCACTTTTTCTTGTAGTGGTTTAATTCCCTGAAAGTCAATGTGATGTCCCAGAAACCCCAGAGCTGGGACGCTGAATATGCACTTCAAAGGGTTAATCACAACGCCGCAACTTTTGAAACGATCGAAGAGGATGTGTAAATGCTGTACATGCTCTTCCGTGGATGAGCTAGCAATCAAAATATCGTTTACATAAACAAATATGAAGTCTAAACCTCTCGTAACCTCGTTCATGAATCTCTGAAACAGAGCAGAGTTTTTTAGATTGAATGGCATTCTCAAGAATTCAAACAAACCAAAAGGTGTGATTGTGGCTGTTTTTCAATATCTTCAGGTGCCATCGGAATCTGGTGATATGCTCTTACAAGGTCTAGATCTGCTTTCCGTGTATGTTTAGAGAAAAGTCATGTAGATGACGAATAGGATACCTGTCTAGAGTGGTCTGATTATTTAAACGATGGTAATCTCCACATGGGCGCCAGTCTTGATCTTTCTTTGGAACCATATGTAAAGGCGAAGCCCATGGGCTACTGGACTGCCGAATGATATCTAGTTGCATCATATGTTCTCGCTTCGCGATCGTTAACTTGTGTGGTGGCAGTCTTCTCGGCCTAGCGCGTATTGGTGGACCAGTAGCAGTAATGCGGTGTTGTACATGATGTACAGTGTACTCGTTTTGATAATCGACTCCTGTGATGAGCTCGTATTTCGACAAGATGTCAGTGAAAATCCTATTCACAGGATTTAACCTTCGAACACCATGAATTTCGTAGTTGGTAGTAATTGTACCATTAACTTGTAAACGTGTGTTTTTGTCGATTAGCTTCTTTTCATTCATATCTACTAATAGGTCATAAGCGCTGAGGAAATCGGTTGCGAGATTAGGTTGTTTGACTTGGGCAACTA